TGGCTGGCCTTTTGGAGTGTGGTGCCAGAGGTCCCCAGGCTCAGAGCACCACCCAGCCCAGTGGGTTTGACAGACCCAAGATGTCAAGGCAAGCGTTAAAATCCAGCCTGAGATCTCAGCTATGAGTACTCCAGGTTGAAGTTTGGGGTTTCCTGAGCTGGGGTGCACCAGAAATTTCCCCATGTGCAGTGGGTTTAACCCTTGTCTTTCTTTTTTCAAGGGCTGGCAGATTTTTCAGCTGACTGTAGGGCAGGGTCTGGTGGCTTATTCAGGAGAGAGCTGCTGGGTAATGGTGAGGGCTTGCGAAGCAGGAGGGGAAGAGGCAGAGGTGTATGGTAGTCACATCCAGGCTCTGGGATTGGATCCTGGCACAGCCTTGCACACTGAGGCATGCTGTAGCTGGGCTGCATCCTGCCAGCACTGGGGTCTCGGAGAAGATCTCCTGGAAACTTTACACTTCCCTCTGTGAAGCATCTCCCATGTGCTCTGCAACCCAGGGATGTCAGCTCCAGTCATCGCTGTGGGCACAGGATGGGCTGTGCTGTCTCACCCTGCTCAGAGAGGGTGGAGCTGGGGGAGAAAGAGACTTTTCCTGGGTTCCCGTGGCTGTGACCCCCATGGCTGGGGCCAGGGCAGGATGGCTTTCCCCAGCACTGAGATCCCCAAGGACCATAGTGCCTGTGGCATGTACCCCGCTGACTTTGTCACTGCACGGTGTCACATCCTGCTCAGCCCAGCCAGACATAATTAGCTTGTTGAATCTCTTCTCCCTCTGGCCTCACGTTAATCACTTTTCACACTGCTTCCCTCGCAGTTCCCTCTGGCCTGGCTTGTTCTTTCTGTTGCTGATGTGCCTGGAGAGGGGAGCAAGAGGACAGGACTAGACATGGGGTGGGGCTGCATTGTGCCCCAGAGATGGGCTCTGAGCCAGTGGATGGAGGGGCAGTGAGATCACTCAGCTATGGTGAGGTGAGAAAATCGCAGGCTGGAGAAAAAGTAAGAAAGCTAGAGAGCAGGGGAGCTTGTTGGGACAGCACTTATTTGCAGCCCTGTTCCTCCAGCGGAGGATGAAACCTTGGAGTCTAATGGGAGAGGCTGGCTTGGAGCCAACCTGGGACTCTCTAGCATGGGGTTGTTTTGGGCTGCAAGGTGTTGTGAGAGCTCAACGGGGTCTCTTTCACATCTCCTCTGTGAGGGGAAAGGGAGGTGGGACAGGAGTGAGGGTGGGGTTGCAGTGGGGTGGGGATGTTGAGATGGAAGTGCTCCTTGCCTCCTGTCCCAGGGGCTGCAGGGTGCTTGGGAGAAGGTTTGGAAGGATTAGTGTGTTTTGGCACATTTGGGGCATGCCATTAGGGTACGGGAGGGTGTGTAGCATGTCTGATGGCATGAAGGTGTTGAGAGGTAGGGAACTGAGGGTGTCTGGGACTTGAAGTCTGGAGATGTTTAGGAGTGCTGGGGTGCTTGGGGGGACACTGGGCTTCAGAGGGCTGGGGCTACCTGGAGTCTTGGGGCTGTGGGATGCAGTGGGCTGCACTTTGTCAGATGATGGGAAAAAGGGCTGCAAGTGGCTGAGGCTGGGGAGATGACCAGGAGCTGGAGGCAAGGAGCAATAGATGTGGCGTACACCACCATGCAGGGGAAAGCTTTCCTCACTGCTGCAGGAATTGGCATCTATGAGGGAAGTGTGGCTAAAAGAGTCTATAGTCCCTGGCCCCCTTGCCCTCCCTGTGGGGCTGTGCCAGGGTTGGGGAGGGAAGGGGCTGCTGAGCTCCTTGGATTGGCAGTTGGGCTCTGAGGACAGGGCTGGCTGCAGCCAGACAAGAAGACTCGAAACATGTCAAAATGATGCACAACCTGTTGATTGTCCCTGGTGAGGACAGAGACCTGCACAGTGCTGCTGCCTTGTCGCTTTTGGCTGCTGTCC